GTATGGTCTCTTCTTATAAGAGGAGAGTAAAGTAGGGCGGGCAGGGCTTTAATTTCGTATTTTCACTGGTCACTTAAAATTAAAATCACTTAACCCCATATCACGAAATAACCTCTTTACCCCCTCTTATAACGCCTGAAACTGTACACAACCAAACACGTAGCTACATAGCAAATATGTGCCGTCGGACATTACCATATGAAATTTTCTACATGCTAAAACCTGTCATCATTTGATAACATTTGTTTTTTATTCATTTTGCATTTTTATTCAGTGCTACTGTCCCTGTAAATGTATGGAGTCACGTTGCATTCACGTGGAGTCGAGGTCAGCATACTGGTAGCCTATACATCAACGGAGACCATTTGGAGAGCAAAATTGCAAATATCTCCGTCGAAACAAAAGTGGATCTTAAGAATTCAGGGCACACTGTTTACGACATTGGCTTGAAAAGAGATAGTGGAGAAACAACCGACGCGTTTCTCAGCGACCTCATGGTGTTTGACCGTGTGCTCTCAAATGACGAAATTAAAAATGAGTTTGTTATGAATCATCCACTCCACAGTTTTACCTAATCTGTTTGCTACATTCTATTACGAAAAATGTTGACACCTAAGAAGCATGGGACCCAACAGTTCTATGGGAAAATGTTCGCACAGTCACGTTATCAGTGCTTTACTTTGCCAATATTCATAGAAGATCTTCGTTTATAATGATTACTTTCTTCGGAAAAGCGTGGATGGTTTTAATTCTTTCATTGTTCATTGCTAATGCTTTTAATGTGTCGACGTTTATTCGATCGTGTGTATACAAATAATTTAATTACATAACATGCACATTTTGCCTTAATATTAACGAGTTCTGTTTTTTGAACGCTTATTAAAGATAATTTCGATCAAAATCTCTACACTTATGGTATGGAAGAGAGTAGTAAATCAATGTTATACCTGTAAATGCTTTTTCAAAAAGGAATCTTCTACCCCATGAATTTGCATGAATTTCGCTAGCCAGATAATATATTAAAAGCTGTTGTTTCTCAACTACATGTGACTCTCCATGTCGGTGATGCAATCAATGGTATCATTACACTAACTATTTGAGTCTCATAACTCATAACATCACGGCTAAACTGACCAATCAGTATACACCAACCGGTCGTATACCTCTCGACTGACTACGGTGTATCAATTGACTTTGATGACGACCTCCACATAGGACTATCCTCAGGACTATCCTCAGGACTATCCTCAGGACTATCCTCAGGACTATCCTCAGGACTATCCTCACCTGGAATATCAGACTACACGATCACATGTTCCCCTCGAGTTCAAGCCATTTACTGCATAACTGGGTATCATTGGCAAAAGAGTTTTGGAGACTGCATTTACAGTTAGATTTTAGATTAACTTTTAAAATGTTGTCGCCATTATTGATTATTTTCAAACATTTTGACTACTGGTTCTCGGCTTTAAAATCACATTGACGCAAAGTTCAATTTCGCAATTGGTTGTGGGTGCTGTTCTTACTATTTCCTTCTCCTCTTCCATTATCTTCAAACTGAAAATAAGTTGCACAAAGAAAACAAATAAAGAGAGAAGTACATGGGCAAACTCAACATCTAGTCCTCTGTTATTCAGTTGGCAGAGCATTGGACCGCGAAATCTGAGGGCCTGAGGTTCGACTCCTCTTTACGGATTAAAATGCTTTTATCTCTTTCTCACCATCGTGACAATTGATAAAGATGTTTATTTTCTTTGAAGACCAAGCTTACATCTTAACATTTTTGTCAATCAGCTGATGGATAATAGGGAAAAATTTCAGGGAAATCGTTAATTTATCAATCTGGTCAAGTATGTGTAAGGTGTAATCTTTTAGGGAAGTGTAATTAAGCTGGTATATATGATTTTTCTGCGTACGTCTTCCATTCCATCTTCTTTCAAGAAAGTATACGCCAATTCCAAGTCTCTTTTGGGGAATTGCAAATGAGTTCAAATGTGAAAATCAAAAACCGAAAAAAACAAAATGAAATGAAAACATTTTCAAGATGGGTTCGTTTTTCTTAATATATTGCTTCCAAGCGTATTAGCTCCACGAACATCATTCCAAAAACTGAGCTATGTGCATCTTACCAGAACTGTTCTGAAAATTTTAAGCTACATTTTCCTGTAATCAGCGATATCGAGTGTGAGACAATTTTCATTAGTGACATGTGTTAGGAAAGCACAGACTAATTTACGAGATGAGAATAATCTGAATCTTCGATCTCCGTAATAGTCCAAAACGTAAAAAGCAATTTAAAGAACAAAAAAAATACCTACTCAAAATGTTTAATCGAGATTTACAATAATGGACGAGAATTTTCTTTCCTGCGAAGAGAAACTTGAGCACCATCATCTAAAAGAACAAGTATTTGGATAAGGAGAAGTGGCTGAAGAGGAGCTTTTTGTTAATTCTCTCCATAATAGTCATAAACGTACAGAGCGGTTGAAAGGATAAAAAAAAAATACCCACTCAAAAACTTTTAAAAGTGATATTTACAATAACAGACGAGAATTTTCTTGCATGCGAAGAGAAACTTGAACACCATTATTTTAAAGAACAAATATATAGATAAACAAAAATGATAGGAGAGAAAAAGTTTGCTCATGATTGTACAAATTTCCGTTTTTCTTGAATTCTATAAGTCACGTTTCCTTTTTCATTAGAAGTTCATTAAATCCACAGGAGGCTTAAATTATTTCTAATCAAAAATGAACGGCATTGGAACTACCTTCTCAAGAAAACTGCAGCAAAAAAAATTGAGCTGTCAACATACGGAGCTGGAATTCGTGTCCATTAGACACCAGGTAGCCGTTAATATTAACTGAACCACAAAGCCATATGTTGAGAGCGAAGAGTCAAAACTTAGAGGAGTTTTATTGCTTTATTTGCCCAGAAAATCAACCAGGACTCTAAGCAGTAGGCAATAATGTTTATTTGTTCACTTTACTTATTTACTATTCTCTTTGTTCCAGAGAAAGTTATTTGAAGAAAGAAAGTGCGCAAATGTAGACGTGAGGAGCTGAAATTAAAACAAAACCATCGGCGTCAAAGTGACCCAATTTAAATTATGTTTAGGAAAGTATTACTACGAATTTTTTGTTGGGGCCATCACAAATTCAGATCACATATAATCAGTTCGTCACGAATGCTGTTAGCAAACAGACAATCCTTTTCAGACCAACCCTTTGCGACCTGCCAGACGTCACTAAAATTGAGGAACAAAATGAAATAGAAAAAAAAAATTCATGAAAGGCTGACGGTGCTGTTAAAAGGTTGATCTTTTCAGTTGTAACTGGACAAAACCTATTCCTTTTTGTCGTAGCTTCATTATGAGTGACAGTTCTTAGGCAGGCATAGGGAATTCTCGAGATGTATTAAAAATATTCTTCCGAGTGGGTGGAACGTTTTCAAAATTATGCGAGTGGGTTGACAACCTTTGATCTACATACACACGTCACTTAAAATACACCGTAAGGACACATTGAATTCATTATCAATCTGTGGGAGTTTCGCGAAGAGATAACATCCATAACTTTGTAAATTTTTAAAATGTTGACCACTAACAAATACGAGTGTTTTTCGACTGGTGCAAGGCAACTAGTTATGAAAAATACTTTCCCTCTCTGCAACCGAAGCACTTTCAATGCGAGAAGAATCTTTCCTGTTTATCGTGATGGTGAAGTTGTTTTGACTATTAATATAAATCGGCTTTTTGTCTTGATTTATATCCCAAAGAGAACACAATTTAATGAAAGATGGTGACTCAAAGCTTTTCTTTCTAACCTTATATAAACGGGCAAATGAACACTTTGATGTTCACAACAGCATCATTAGGCCATTAAATTAACTCCAAACACCAAACTACAACAACAGGTCGAAAATAAACGACAAACGGTAAAACGCAGTTAAGTTTTATTTCGAAGGCAATTCATTAAAATCATCAGTCATTTTTAAAATCTGCAAGAAATTCTCTTAAGCTACGAAATATTGGCAGCAATTTTATAAGAACAGAAGGAAACGGCGGATGGTTGTCAGTCTAAATTGGCCGCCTAAAGTAAAAACAAAACGAAGTCAGAACGGAACCACTAAATTGCTAGTTTTATTATCCACGTTAAATCATTCAATCCTGATTTACGATCAAACTTCAGATTACGTATATTATCTCTTTGAAGTTTCCGCCGATTATAAATTTAACCTTTTTGAGACCTTTGCAACCAAAATATTTCTTCTTGTGCTACGAAATTTAGAAGAAAAAAAAAGAACGATGTGTCTTTGAATATTTGTTTGCATTTGTCCGCCAGGTGATGAGGTTTTAATGACGACATCGTAGGTCATTTAGGGGAAAGCCAATTTTGTGGCAAATTGTTCTGTTTGATATAATCAAAGATGCCTTTAGCGCCAAATTTCTAATCAAGCGAACACGTCTAACTGAGCCTTTCAGGTCTTTCATCCATTGTGATTCCTCATTGTATTCTGATAGTGGTGCATCTTGACATGTGGCGATCTTCTAGAGTCTCAACAAGTTATAATAAAAATAACTTCGATATTTGAACCTCGATCTCTCATCCTACTGTGCTATGCCTTACATTAAATGCTGTTTGTGCCTAAAACAAAAAGCGTCAATTCATTTTCATATCCGGATTCGTTCAGTTCAATTTAAGAGGATGTTTGTACTCACTTATGTGTAATGAAAAAAATCCAGCCTTCGAAATTTTGAAGATTTAAATGAGTTTATTATGAAAGTCCAACTAAACAGAGTGATTAATGTGTATCAAATAGTTGAAGGCAAGACTCGGCTTAAAAGGTTTGATTTGCAATTGAAATGTTTAATTCAAATCGTTTTCGCACTAGTCACGATATTGTTTTGATCATCCGTGAGGACTTTTTTTTATTTTAATATGTTTCCTATGAATATTTAATGAGGTGAGTCTTATATTACCGTTTGTTTAGACCAAAGTCGAGAGACACTGAAAAGCCATCGAAGAAGTTTCTCGTGATCTCAGGGGCTTTGGGGCGGCGGTCATCTCGAAGAAACCTTGGAACAGCCAAACCCGAGAAAAGCTTAGATCAAAAATGGCAAATAACACGACAGAAGAGGTGGATGACGGAATTTACCTCCAGTTACCTCTTGGGTTCACGATCTTCGAATTGAGTCTTCAAATCTTTATCGGTTTGTTTGGCTCCATTGGAAATGCTATCTCTTGCGCTACCATAATCAGAAGGCCAAAAGTGTTCTCTGCCATGAGCCAGTATCTTTTAAGCCTGGCGTTCGCAGATTTAGGTGTCTTGATGTTTATTCTGCCCATAATCATCTTGCGAGCTCAATTTCCTTTCGAATGGGTCCTCGGGAGGTTTGTTTGTTTGTACGTTACACCCTGCTTAGAAACTTTTTATGGCGCTTCCGTTTGGTCCATCACGATTATTGCGGTCGAACGCTACGCAAACATCGCCTGGAAAGAAATACGAATTGGAGGAAGAAGGTCATTGAAGCGATCTCGGTTCATCGTTATCGCTATATGGCTGTTTTCCTTCGCTACACGCAGCATACAGCCTCTCGTCCATGGAGTGTACAACTCTAGGACGTGCGGCCATACACTGACTATGACCTCTCGGCGCATTATCGTGACGGTGAAATTTATACTGCATTACCTCCTGCCACTAAGCATCATAGCTTTCTGCTACCGAAGAATCGGCAAAATGGTGTCCAAGAGAACAAGGAAATTTCAAGACGAGACCGCAAAGCCTTCAGATGTGAGAGAATCGTCGTCTATGGTAAACTCGAAAGCCATATTACATCAGACCAAGAAAACGCAGCAAATCCTCAGGCCGTTGGTGGTACTGTTCGCTTTGACCATGCTACCTTTAAATGTGTTCGACCTCGTAGCAGTGTACTGGCAAGATTTAATTTATGTGAGCTTCTACAAAATTCTCATCTTGATCGTGGCTATATCGACATTCACAAACTCTGCGGCAGATCCTTTGGTATACTGTGCTGTCAGCAGAGAGTTTCGAACAGAGGTGAAGTCATTGCTACCCCACTGTTTCCAAACACACCTCAAGAAGAGGAAGCAAAGCAATTCTACTTCCCTCGCTAAGACAACAAGATCAAAGGAAACTCAATTGACGAGGGTTTCAACTCGTCTTGACACACAATTTTGAGCGAAGGAAAAACGAAGACTGAATAGGACGTAAGAACAAAAAGATCCGTACTTAAAGCCTTAAACTTAAACTTATGATCCTATAATATGTATAACAGTCAGACATTGTTCCTTTTGCATTTGAGTCTCAGTGGAAAAGATGTTAAAAATAGAAACTCGCTGGAAAATTTTAAAAACTAAATAACATAGCAAACAAAAATTAATCTGCAGAAATAGTTAACACTCCTGTTACTGAGCAATTTTGACTTTCCTCATTCATTTAAAAAAAGAATTTACTTAGAATGACATATTGTATTACTGGCTGAATACGAAAAGCTTTACACTGATCATATTTCGTCAGTGCTCAGTTCATATTAAACGAATGCACTCTGTATATCGTTAAACAATCGTTTAATTAGTTCGTCTCCTCTGCAATTAGTATTGTTGTCGGTTCCTGAGTAAAGTTCATAATCAAAAAGCTTCCTGTTGGACTTAAAAAAGATGAAATTGAGACTAATAAAACATTGGGAAGCTGTTATCTCATTAGAAGCAATTTTTTTCTCAAGATGTAGTTTTTTTTTTAGAGGTTTGCAGCTGGCCCATCGGAATATCACCTTCGTGTGTATTTGCGGGTTAGATAAATACCTCTTGTGTAAAATTACATAACATTTGGCTACGAAATATTGCGATACATTAGTGCATTGGATCACGCTGAATAAACTTATACATTAAACACAAAGAGCTGATACACATCAAGTTTTGACGTTCGACATACGTCATCATCGAGTTAAAAAATTATACTAATATAAGAATGTATATACTAATTTAAGTAACACAAAGAGGACTTTAAAGTCATCTAACATAAAACCCATTTGAATTTAAGTGCCAAGGAAAGTCTAAATTTTCCGTGTAAGAAATGCCCTTTGAAAGAGCGGAATTCACCCCCTAACACTTATAGACTTGGGCTGATTAATATTCTATGTGAGACTCTTTGTTTGAAAGAACTTTCATGACACATTAATCCGTACACCTTGAATACCTTCTTACGTAAGTACTTACGCATTCTAATCAGCTCTTATTTTTGATCGCGTTGATGTTCACGTTTGTTAGACAACAAAACATGGTCATTTTTGAAGTTTGCCAACTTTCTCAATATGATCTCTGGCAACATACAACTGAAGTTATCTCTGGCAAATTTTTTGCTGATGATCGTGATCACGCGATGTTTTGAAATGCAAATTTATAATCGTCAGGACCATTAACAACAGGTGTCTAGCCCCGAAAGGGAAAGTGGTGGAAATAGCACTGTTTCCAGACACCCCAAGAAGAATAAACAAAGCAATTCTACTTCCCTCGCCAAGACAACAAGATTAAAAAGGAAAACTTATTTGACGAGGGTTTCAACTCAACTTGACACACCAATTTGAGTGAAGGAAAAAAAAAAGACTGAACAACACGAGAGAGAAAAAATATATATATTTAAAGCTGGTGTGAGTCTCAGTCGATGAGATGTTATAAATAGAAATTCTCTGGAAAATTTTTTTATCACTAATCAACATTGCAAATTAAAAATTAATCTGCAGAAATAGTTAACGTTCCTGTTGCTGAGCAATTTTGGCTTCCCATGTTCATTTTAAAAAAAGGATTTCCATAGAATGACACACTGTATTACCGTCTGAATACCAAAACCTTTCAACGTTTGCTCAGTTCATATTAAATGAGTTTATTCTGTACATTGAAACGTGGTTTTTTTGACGTTTTTTTTTTTACTTTCTTAATATGATCTCTAGCAGCATATACTGCTGCAGTTATTTATGGCAAATTTTTGCTGATGATCGCGATCACGCGATGTTTTGAAATCCAAGTCTATGGTTGACACTACCATATATAACAGTTTTCTGGCCCTGAGCGGGAAAATTGTGGAGAAAGACTCTCAAAAGGTTAAAATGTGCGTAGTGCAAGATTGTGTTGTTGGCTCAGTCAGTAGAGAATATGGAGCACAGTTTCAGGATGGCAATTCGGACGACAGATCACAGCATACAGACTTAAGACTGTGGACTACAATCTAAGAACAAATATTTCGTGCAAAAAGTGAAATGCGGTTAACCGATAACGTTAAAACGGCCCAAACATTTAACCGTTAGGCGTAAAAATTGACCAATTCTAACCAATATTCTTAAAAAAAAGTTAACCGTTAAAACTTTAAATTTTTTGGTGACAGCAATGGAATGATATCAACCGTTAATCGTAAAATAGCCAAACTTTTATCCGTTAGCCGTAAAACTGATCTGTTACTCCACTGAGACTTTCTTAAACACTGGCCACACCTACGGCGGGGGAAAAAACATGGATAGGTGAAACAACGTATGGATTAGAAACTGACTTTTTTTTTATTTGAAGTGTTTTTTCAAAAAAGATGGGTCCTTGTTTTTTAAGGATTTCCTTGTAATGGCCGCATGTTGGCCTCTTCAATCAACTAACATATTCATCGAATAGAGCGCTTATTCAACTCACCGGTCCTTATCGGACTTACCATAGTTTCCGGCCGTTTACCCGCACGGCAGATTACCCGCATCGGTCAATTTTTGCAACTGACGAGAAAAATATTTCAACAGATTACGCGCACTGGTAGATACCCCGCACCCAAAAACAAAAGAAAATCGTCAATTCACACAGAGTTCCTTCATTGTTTTTGTTGACGTGACATCCTTCAGCGTGCAATAAATAAATTTTCATACTACTTGTTTTCGATGTTTCATCGAGAATGATACCACTTGTAAATATCTGTTCTAAAAAAAAATCGATATCTCAAGATCTATCGAGTCAAAAAGAAATCGTTGGAAACGGGAAAATACTCTTTAACTCAAGGCAGTGCTAGTTAAGAAAATGTCACTGATGCGTCGGATATTCCGTGGCCTCATTAATTACGTCGCGCCACGAAATGAACATGTCGGCATCATTTTCCGTGTGAATTGCCTTAAAGCCCGCTTTTTCACAATTAAATTCTTATATTTTCAAGTTCATTACCTGTGTAAGTGAGAATTTGTTTTGAACTTAACAAAGGAACAAGCTGAGAAATTGACAAAGTAAGAAGTAAGATTACAAACAAGATAAAAACTTTGTTATAGAGATTTGTTGATATGTTTTCGATTTCCATCGGCTTTCATCGAAAGCCTAGAAGTCTCTCGTTGTAATGAGCCATCTACACGAAATAAATGACTTATTGCACAGGTTTTTTGAAGAGTGTCTCTAGGGGTCGTATCTTCTGTTTTTTCCTGCTCATAGTTTTAAAACTATACCGGAAGCTTTAAAAATGATCGTTTTAACAACACTTTCCAATAACCCGCACCAACAACTGTTTGTGGAAAAATTAACAGATTACCCGCGGGTGATAGGCCAGAAATTACGGCAAGTCAACATCTTAGCTTTAGGCTTTCGGTGGCTTTGATTTAAGTTTTTGATGTAGTGAAAGTACCGCCAATAAGTCTTTGATATATACACGGAGGCAAACTTACACTGCACATCTTCTGACGCGACTCAAGAGTGTAACAGGAATTTCTCAATCCTCGGAAACACTGAATGTTTGGCCAGACAACGCCTACAGTGGTTATGCTACCGTCTTCAAATACTTCATGTTCGCTTTTCGGTTCTTGCAGCTATTTTGTTCCCAGAGGCTTGTTAGCGAGAAAAATGAGGTGAAATATGCGCTGAGATTGGCTACCCAGGTAATACGGATGGGACCATCCCTCACACCCGGGGATTACCCGCGTTGATCCCGAAAAAGAAAAAACTGCCTGTAGCCCGTTTACACAATTCCTACCATCAGGGTGTTTTGTCTTGTTGATGTTAAAACAAAACCGTTTGGAAACAGTTTTGCTCAGTTTCAAAACACGTGCTTTGGAAAGTGAACACAAAGAAAAGTACGACAATTTTTGTGGATTAATCCAGTAATACGGAAAAGCCTTTATAGACCAAAGTTGTATGTCTGTAAACAAATTTTATAGACCAAAGTTGTATGTTCAAAGTGGCTGGCTATTGATATCGTTCTTTTCACTTATGTTGTTTTAGACTTCAACTACGCTTCAGTCCATCAAAAGGCAAAAAGAGCTTGCCAATGTCAATCCATCTTCATGTCACGCCTGGTCGTTAATGCATATTTATTCCTTTTATCTCTGAGAGTTACTAACATCTAATTTCTCCTTACTGTATCATGGCTGAATAAAGCATTGAGGTAAGAAGAATAACGGAAAATAATCGCCAATCAAAGAATGTCTTGATTGTTCAACAGCAAATGTACAGAGAACATTGGGGAGAATAGGCATTCTAATAATTTTTTTTTTACTCAGAAAACAATGTAACAACGGCAATGTTGCAGACATCGCAACGGCCGAGTTTTTAGTTCACTACGACCGCTAAATAATCACAAACGATCGATGGCATCAGTGACGATTGAAATCGTTACAATTTCTGAATTTTACATGAAGGTTTAACACTATCGATTGACATTAAAAAAACTATGATTGATATTTAGCGCTATCGATCTGTCTCAGAACACCGGCGATTTATAATTAGCGCTTTTGGTTGGAGTCTTACGACGAAGTTTTGTGCAACAACGCAAGCGATTGAGGTTCAACACAAACGATTGACCATTTTAAAACGGAAACTAAATTGATTTACAATTACAATTTGTTGATGGTACTAGCGATTGAGTTTTATCGCTAGCGATCGATATTTTAGCACTAACGATTGAGTTTTATCACGAGCTCCCCATAATATTGGCTCAGCTTGTAAACAGTCCTTAAAACATCTGTTGGAGCATATTGTAAGCAGTGCTTAAAAAATCTATTTTTCAAATGGCATCTATTTTCCAGCACGTAAGAAAGCGAGAGAATAAATACGCGCACAAGAACAATCGGCTTGCCTTGTAACGTTGAAAAAATAAGGTTAAATTTAGCACTTTTTGACAATAAAAACTGAAAGCCGGAGTGGACTCATTCAAAGTCAACCTCGCTTCAGCACTTTCTTTAGGTGCTCATAGGCTTATTGAGCCATCTCGCACATGAAATCAATAAATGCACTTAGAAAGTTTAAGCGTACGTGCTCCTTTACTTGAGGGGTAGGGCCAAAGGAAAAGGATAGATTAACAGAGAAATAATTTAAACAGCTTATACTGAATCACTCCCGTCTGAGCTGACTTCCGGTTATATAAAAATATACTACTGGTTACGTCATCATTATCTTTTCTAGCGTCTGGCTAGACCGGCTTGCCTTGAATTTCAACCGTGTTCCATTTTCTCACACAACAACAGCTCGAGTCTTTAACTAGTTACGCTCTGACGGTTAAAGAAACCGTAAGACTGTGTTCGAAAGGTAAGAGAAATCTTAACGTTATGTAGGTTGAGTTGACGAGATCGCGCAAAAGAGGACTAACGCTGTTAAAGTTTTAAATAACACTTAGCTTGTGTATTGAACTGAGTGGAAAAACAAAAATGGATAGACAAATATTGAAACTTGTCATCGATCACTAATATTTGTGAGAATGCATTATGCAAGATTGCCAGTTTAGTTCTTGCCGGAAGAAGTGGAACACAACAAAAATATTACTTTTATTTACCAATTTGGAACTAACAGAAAGAACTACCATATTTCCAACGTTTAGAATTGACAGAATTATTGAGCAGTTTGCATCTCTATGCTCCGCTCACGCAAACACGTCAGAACACCCATTGCGACGAAGACAATTAATGCTGCATCGGTTATTACTCATTTATATCATAATTTATTTGTACTAAAGAGCAAATGCGGCATGGTTACACAGTTAGCACAAGTTTCCAAATGAGAGAGTGAAAACCAAGTTACTGTTGTACGTGTATTGACAAGACAGTGAACGCTTTTTTACAATAGCTAATTCAACATCGTTTCGAAATTGCTGGCTAGTTTTAATTAGGCGCAGACTGCAATATTCGTTATACAAGATAGGTTAAAGGGGTAAAGAAGAAATATTTTGCCCACAAGATGACCAAAAAATAGCTAGTTGTTTGGACAACATGTGATGCGTTTGACAAACATGTGACGCGTGATCTCGTTGCGCTTCGGCAATTGTTACACAAAGCGAGAACTAGAGTGTGACTCGGGGTCAAACCAAGGATTATTCAAAGAATAGCGATGCAGCAGAAACACTTAGCGTGATTAACACTGTTATTGAAAAGCATCATTCAATGCGGTTAACTTCAAACATTTATATTACGGCTGCCGACAAACTGTTTTGTCTCTCTTACTTGGGGGTTGTAATCAGCTCTGGAAAACAAGCCTCCCGCTACCAATCGAGCTAAAATAGTTTCCATTTTTTTAATCATTCTGAGTCATAACCAAAGATTAGATTCCAACTCAAAGTTGATCGGTTCCATTTGATCCGTTTGACTCCCATCACGGCTTCTCTAACGCCCGATTCTGACATAACTCCTTCAAAGCAATTATCGATCCAGAAAAAAATGATGAGATGAATTAAGTTAAAATAGGTTTTGATTCGATGTGAATCGTAAACCCAAACGACCACGACAATCCACTAACCATATGGGAACTGTCAGTAGTGTTGAGGTCATGCAAGAATTTTTTTGATGTCGTAAACGACGTGCAAGCTGCATTATTGCAAGTAAGTCGATAGGACTAGCAGTTATTGATTCAGGAAGCGAGACCAGAAAGCTATATTTGCTTCGTGCGTTTCAACGTTCACTCCAAAGGAAATATAGTTTACTTCGCATTTTTTAAGCTTTAATGGCAAGATCCAATGATAATTTTTATTTTTCTTAAGTGTCACCCCACTGCGCAGTCCTTGCTACTAAACATGGCCTCTGCTGGCAGGGTGCAGTAACCTCCTGTAACGATCTGCACTGTTGTGACGGAAAGCCCCTTTGTGTTGTAAATGTTATACAAATGCGCTTTGTGTATTCTAGCCATTTAAATTATGTCAACTGACAAAATCTCAAGTGTGTTTGAGAGTGTTTCCAGATTGGGCATGTCTGATGATTAGTCTATGCATCTGCAGGGCACCTAGTCACTCAGCCAAGCAACGTATATAAACATGCGAGGTGACTACGTATTGAATGCCTCAAAATCCAAGTCTCTCTACCTACATTGCAAGGAAACTTCTCAGTTACTGCGACGTTCTTCTCTCGCTCAAATGTGCCACAGCAAAATCCTTCATCCGCATGGCATATCATATTTGTAAATGATTAACTACGGCTGGATTATTCACGTAATACGGATTTTGATTACACATTGCTGGCATATTCTTTGCAGAAACTTAAGAGGACGCATATGTAGTAGCTTCCTCTACTCAAGGCGAAAAAGCACGTTCTCGGACACTTCTCGTTGCCTTTCAAGCCATAACCTCTTGCTGGGTAGGCCAGCACACTCACTGAAATGAGCTCCAAGAGCCCTAAATTGAATAGGAACCAGGTAAGTGATCGTAACATCAAGAAAGGACCGGTAATAAGTCCATTTACTCAATTATATTAAAGACTGTCGACCTTTGACGGGACTTGAACCGATCATTTAGGGGTACATCAAGCGATCGTAAACAATACACTAGAATAGGAACTGCTTTAGTGGTTATAGGGAAGTTTGCTTTCTAGATCGGTGTGATTTTGTAGCTCAGAGTATATACACCGAACGACTCTGTTAACGTGGCGGGATATTTGTTATAGACTGATGCTTTTTTGTGACACATGTCGTCGAAGGACCGCTAAATTCGAATTAACCTCGGAAAAAAAATGTCTAGTGAAATATTTCTATCAAAGGCGAGCGTTTCAATTAAATCTGCGAAGGAGGTGTCCGCTCCAGAAAGTTAATTCTGGCCCTTTGATTTGTTGCTGCCTATTTTGTATTTGTAAACCGACCAAATACAGGCAGCTGGCCGGCAACAGCTTGCAAGTTGATCAAATACACTCCAAAGAAAAACAGCACTTCAAGACCACACACAAACAAACAATGAACAGGTTATCTAACTACTCAAAAGTGAATAAGTCTTAAAGAGAAAGCAGGCCTTAGTGTTTGTATGCCGTCTCTGTTAAATTTGATCCGATGGAAATAACATGCTTTAGTCGACTCTAATCATTGTATTGTTTTCATTCTTTCATTGTTATAGTACCAGGATTTACTTCTTTGTTTCACTATGCAGATCTCTCTCAGGAATTAATGATATCGATCCGTCTCCTGCCACATACGTTTCCAGTTTTTAAATTTGAAATTAAAGATGTCGGAGCGTTTCGCTTTTCTTTTTCTTTCTTTCATCACAAATTTAAAAATAGAAATGGCCGTTGAATTTACCGACGTCAAAAATGTGGTCACGCAATAATCACATGATAAGTGCTTTTAATCGAAGACCGGAATTCTTGGCCTTCCTGTTTACCGTGTTAACTGTTACAACATTGTTTCCATTTCCGGTTTGTTCATTGTGATATTCTATGAGTCGTGTTCGAACGCGGTGAGTAAACAACCTCGGACGAGACTCTTGTATGAAGGAAGCATGCAGGTCTCATACTTTTATCACTCTGTCGTTCCAAGTCTCGTAGCCTCGATGTTGAGTGATCTCGCCTACAAGTTTAGACATATGCATGTGTAAAGGTTACTCCAAACCTTCGCGGATCAACTTTAGCCGATTTTTTTTTTATATATATAAAGATAGTTATATAACAGAAGGAACGTTAACAGAGTCTGTTATCACTGCGACACCCACTTAAATGTGCTTTGTTTACAAAAAGTTTCCCAGTTACTTAGGATGGATCAAGTCTTGTTTTAAGCATTCTAAAGCACCTCCCTCTTCCCTCAGCAGGAACTGAGCCTCCCAAACTCTTACTCGCTTCCCTTATCTTACCTCCCTTCTCCTTCTCTTGATTTCAGCTTGAGGCCAATGTAAATATTCTGAAGGAAGAAATCAAACGACTTCACAAGGAAATATTTCAAGTCAGGACAGAATTGAAGATACAAAGAGCGAGAACTCTGGACTTGACTTATGATTTACAAGAGAAAGAGCAGGAGCTAGAACAGCGAAAGAAAGATTATGATCAAGAGATGAATGACATTATTTCCAAACTTCTTCTCCTAGAGGGGGATTTTCGAAAGGAGCAAGCCGAGATCAAAACACTTCTCGAAGCTAGGGAAGTCACAATCGAGTCGCTGTACAACGAAGTCACCACAAAAGACAGGCAGATCGAATCACTGCGAAAGAAAATAGATTTGTTAAAATCGCAGCCTGAAAAAGACGATAGACTAAAACTGGAGAAGAAACTGCACTCACAGAAGTTAGAAATTGACAATCTTCGGAACGCAAATGCTCGTTTATTAGAGTCTTTGTCTCATGTCAGACTCAATACGCATAGCAATCGTCAAGCGAGATTACGGAGAAGTTCTACGCCAGCAAGCCGCGGGCATGGAAGAAATCAGCTGAATAATTCAGAAATGCCGGAATGGAAGGAGGAACTTTCAGCTTTTTTCTAACCTGTTCATTACTTGAAAATACGTGTCATTCTTCTTATCGGTCGGCATTATTTAAAACATATGTCGGCTATTGATTAAGTTGAGATTCTTGCCATTTTTCTCGTTTGTAAGACTTTTTCAAAACCAGAGCGACCGGCGGATCGAGAGCTTCGCGCGATTCAAGGGAGAACGCGCGAGTAAGGAGCAACTCCCATTTTTCCACTCGTGTCCATAATTCTAAATGAAACTCTCTAAGATATTTCGTACTCAGACATCTATGTGTTATCTATAAATAATGTATAAATTAGAGATAAATATATCGATTGCATGGAAAAATATGTTCAAAGAACAGTGAATATATCGAAATATCTAGTGAATCTCAGAGCTCAAAAATGTCAGGATGAGGTGTCTTGATGGAGGCCTCAAGGTATTAACTGTTTACATATGAGTCATGGTTATGGTTTTTTTCTTCTTAGTCAAAGAACACGTGGGGGACGACTAAGGTTATCATCGACACACCTGTATGGGTCGCTGTGTGTTTAAATGTGTTGGTGTTATCCAAATTATAGACACTGCTCAAGTGCGAATTAAAGACAATTCTACTTCTTTTACCAATAGAAATTTTAGGGGGAAAATATTGAGTTCACATAGTTCCTTCCGTTATTCACTACAGAAGAATAAAGATAAGATTTACTTCCTCTGAAAGTTTTTGTTCTAGCATAAAATTTATCACAATTCGGAGTAGCTTGGGTGCTAAAGCATTCTCATACCTCTCCCCCGACACCCTTCTATTGGGCTTCCCTCGCCTCAACGCTCCTCCAGCGATTCTCATAGAACATTGTTTTGTGCTAGATAAACAACATCAAACCAGTGAAGTTGGTTAACTTTGTTGGTTACATTTTCTGAAATTCTGTTGCATTAGTTTGAATTTACAAGAAAAGTCAGTTGAAAACTTTCCTTATAGTAGTCAAGTACAACTGACCAGTCCCAGACGGCCTACGTGTAGCCGTACCCTCCCCCACTTAAGGTGAAACGGAGGCTTCCGGGGGAGAAGGGTACGGCTACACGTAGGCTACAGTCCGTTAAGAAATCGACCAAAGTCCTATCCAGGTTTATTATTTTAAAAGTATCCAAGTCTTCCGAGAGAGTCTGGGCCCTATCTCCCTTGACTTTCAAATGTTTCTAACATGGCGGACGCAACTGTGCGAATTTGAAGTCTGTTCTAAACATCAAGTTAACAGGATTTTTCCGGAACGGGATGTTACGCTGTTATCAAAAGGCCTTAAGAGAGTTAGAAGAAAGCAGAGACAGACAGAAGGCTGCAAGCGAGGTTGAACAACTGAACCTGCTTCACGGCGAACAAGTCAAGAATGGTGAACATTCGGTTAGAGATGGAGAAAAAGTCGAAGGTAAACGTGATAAAATGCAAAAGAGATCCCACAAACAAGAGGATTTTTCTACAGCAAAAAGCACATCGCGGAAGCATCATAAACCCAAGAAGAAAAGGGAAAAGGAGCAGCCGGAAAAGAGGAAAAAAAAAGAATTGGAAACTGTACACGATTCAACGACTATCATCGAGGCAGCAGCTCCTGAATGGGATGAACAGCTAAAATATAATAAAAATGGAATCAACAGGAAAGCGAGAAAATCAAAGAAAAGACATGGCGATGAAGCAACTTACACGAATGGCGATAAAAGATGCGAAACTCAGGCAAAGAAACAAAAAAGTGACTTAGAGATTGCTTCAGATACAGGAAAGAGGAAAAAGAAATTAAAAAGAGTGCACACGCCAGAATTTCCAGAGGGTACAGACGAAAATCACAAGAAGCTTAGTGACGACCTAGAGATTGTTTCAGATTCAGAGAGGAGGAAAAAGAAAAAGAAATTAAAAGGAGAGCACCCATCAGGATTTCCAGAGGGTACAGACAAAAAACGCAAGAAGCATAGTGACTTAGAGATTGTTTCAGATACAGAGAGGAAGAGAAAGAAATTAGAAAGAGACCACCCATCAGAATTTTCAGAGGGTACAATAAAAAAACACAAGAAGCATAGTGACTTAGAGATTGTCTCAGATAAAGAGAGGAGGAAAAAGAAAAAGAAAGTAAAAAGAGACCACCCATCAGAATTTTCAGAGGGTACAGTCAAAAATCACAAGAAGCATAGTGATGTAGAGATTGTTTCAGAAAGAGAGAAGAAGAAAAAGAAAAAGAAACTAAAAAGAGACTGCTTGTCAGAATTTTCGGAGGGTACAGTCAATAAACACAGGAAAGATGAAAAAAATAATGGTGAAAATTGTACTACAAGTGATCAAATAACAGATATAAACAAGCAGGCATCTGTGGAGCAGTGTATACCAGAAAGGTCAAAACATGATGTAAGTTCTCAAGGAGAATCTTCTCAGTCAAACACTCATCATTCAACAGACAGCCCTGGAAAGGTATCTCTAAGACCTAATCACAAAAAGGGGAAGAGACACAAAAGCAAAGACAATTTGATTGGAAACAGAACCCTCAGTGAAAGTGTTGTAAATGGCAATAATCACAGAACTGGAGTTACGGAGAATGTAACTGTTAAGCCAAACATTGATAAGGCAAAGTTAGCAGAAGCTATAAAGAATTCTGAGATAATTCAGGAAAACTACTACCTTTCTAAAGCACAAAGAATTGAATTCAGTGAACAAGGTAAGCATCCTTTTTCTTTAATTTCATTTGTATCACTTCAGTTGTAGTATAAGATATGGAAACTGTTTATCTCCCACAGTACTCTTACAAGTCACTGAGTAACATAGATGTACATATGCATGGTGTGTGCACTTCAGTCCATGGTTTAAGATATAACATGAGCAATGAACAAAGTGTCTGCTTGTAAATTGCAGTACAGTATGTGTTAAACCACTGGTATGGAGATTCACCATTCCACAGTCACTGTATCTTTTGATTGTCAAAGTAAAGTTATCTTAAATTAAAATTTTAATTTTTTGAAATAAATCATTCAAATGTCCATTATGATAAACACACACACAAATGACAGGTTTCAAGTTTGTTTCAAGAAATCGTGGGCGACTAAGTTGTAATTGGTTTGAGTTTTGTATATGATTGGTTGAGAAAGTATCATTAGTTTTCTGAATCAATCATAAAACAAAGTAATGCAAACCAATACAATCTGGGATTTTGTTCCACACTCAGTTGAAAATTTGGCTACAATTATGTCTTGATTATCTTGTAAAGCATAGTTCAAATTGATCTCTTAATGAATAAGCTAGGGTTTTGGGAGAAAGTTCCCAAGTTAACCATTTTTCTTTTTTATTTGAATTTTTGATAGGAATAACCATAAGAATAGGACAATGGTCCACACATGAGATGGAGTTGTTAAGATATAACATGGCTCAATTTCTGAAGGTATGATGGCAAATATTGACCCAATGCAGGGCCCTAACTCGGTGGATGGAGCAGTACATTTTGTTAACACTTACCTGCTGATTAAAACTTATCTGATCAGTTAATTATCAACATGAGAAGATAAATTATGTTATTTCATCTATTGATATCATAGCTGGTATATTAGCTGTAACATGATTTACACTAAAAGTCAGTTTACTTAAGATTACCTTCTTATCTACACCTGTCTTAAGTTTGTAGCATCCTTGATTTGTTGACAGTGAAGATGTCTGAGCAACTTAATATAAATGGATGATTAACACACCCTGAAAGTGAAAAGAATACAAGTTGTATACTAACCCTGTAAAGGTTTGAGTAGGGTGGTCATCTGAGGGTCACAGAGGAATGAAATTTGTCCTAAATGAAAGCATTATTATCTTTTTCCTAAACAAGTCAACTAACAATTCCAAATAATGAGATTAACCCCTTGAATTAAAGAAGGGACTTGGCTACCTTCTCACCGTTTTTAGTATGACATCAAACAAACAGATGATGTGAATAGACAAGAGTATCAAATGGAGAAAGTTATTGTGATGTAATGCCAAATCCTCTCAACTAATTTAGAAGGAACTGTGTAGCTCAAAGAGGGAAGAATTTTGAGATAAATCGCATATGGGGAGATATAGGGTTAACTGAAGGATGGTGAAAAGCAAAAAGCAAGATACTGCTTTCAACTATTATTAATTCTGGAAATTGGGCACCCTGACTTTAAGATAAACATTTACCTTTAATGGTGATATTGAAATGAAAATTCTGCATCTGTTTTCTAGTGTCATAACCTCTCAGATCCTGCCAGGCTCCTGTTTGCTTCACGAAATAAGGATTCAGAAGAAAGGATTTATTGGACTCGCTTTGTCCGTAGAAATAAACTTCTCAAAGAGCTTGGTAAGCCAAGTGTATTCTTCTTGTCCCTTCAATTATCTTAGCATGAACATTTGTGATACACAATTATTGGTTCAACACTCAAACAAGTCTTAGGTTAGTCCATTTACTATCATGTTACACTGGAAATCTGCTCTCCAGGCCCCTGTTGTACAAAGGGTGGATCACTCTATCCACTGGATAAATCTCTATCTGATGGAAGCCCAGCAACTTGTAGCAATAGCAACTTGAAATCACCAAAATTTGCACAGTCTGAGATCAGAAACCATGATGGCAAATTATTTATGTTGCCATTTGGAAACAAACACTGCCATGTATGTTATGATGATGTTGAGGCATGGCTCTGTAAGAGAAAGTAAACACATCCAGCCATTTGCAAATCTGTAACTAAAAACAGAACTTGATTTTTTAATTGACAATTTGTGTGGTCTGAGAACAGAAACCCTGATGGCAAATTATTTCAGTTTCCATTTGGAACTGAATGCTGCTCATATATGTTATGTTGGAGTTGAAGTGTGGCGCTGTAATGGACAGTGAACACATCCAGCCATGCGCAAAATTCTAACTACATTTTAGAAATATAAAATGATTTCATTTTTTATTCTATGTCTTCTCTGGTGTGGCTGTCATGACTGCCTGTGGTCCCTGCAGTTACATTTATCTACACTACCTACAGTACATGTAGATACAGCTATCTACATAAACTTAACCTTATTAAGGGGATATTTGATGTAATACTGGAATTTCTTCAGTTTAAACATGAGAATTTCTCTGACTTAAAACAGTTTGGCCTCTCTTTAATACACCCTTGAATGTTTGTCAATATTCAACAATCTTGTAGGTAAAGGTATCCAAAGGTCACCGCTTTCTATCTACCAATGTGCAAGAAGGATTTATGATGAAAAGAATTATGTTGGAGCGTAAGTTTATATAATTTTGTGTTGGCACAGATTTCATACTTCAGCAGTATTGAAATTCGGCACCCAACTCTGAAGGCATAGTTTTGCTTTAGTGAGCATTTAACATTTTAAAAATTGCTTCAACTGTTATGCTTTACAACTAACTATTCGGAAACGTTGATGTGTCTTTAAAAGAGTGAACTGCATTTAAAAAGAAGTGCATTGTAGTGAGGCAAATGAATGTCTGTAGACAAAAATTTCCAACCACATGGGCCAGTTCACTGCTCCAACCAGAAAACTTACAGAAAATCTTGGCCAGCACTACAGGCTACAATTTTCTGTAAAATTTGTAGTTTTGAAAAAGCACCTTGTTTGTTGTTTAAATGATCAACTTCCATAGTGCAGCAGATCTTTGATAGCATCTTACCATTTTACCACTGAACTTTTTAACTTCCAAGATTTGATTGTTCATTTTCCCCTTTAGCTGCTACACATTTCCTTGCAAATTAGTTACGAGAATTTGGTGTTAGATCATGATAACAACTTCTACCTGATAACTTTGAGTATTCTCATTACCTGTTTGATGGATAATGAAAGGATTTTATTAGTTGTTGTTGTTTTGTGTGTGTATTTAACTGATCATTTGTGTTGTGCTCTTCATTGTTTTCATGTGTTTTAATTTTTCTGCAGGTACACTGAAAGTGAGATTCAAAAATTGAAAAGGTACAGTTCACCCAGTAACCAATAATAGGTGGACTGTGTTTAGATTTCCGCAAGTTTAAAAAAATTATTACATTCAAGCCCACTGATGAACTGTTAAACATCCAGTGTATAGAATAATGTCTTTTTTGTTGCTGTTATGGAGTTCAGTTTCTATTCATTTTCACCCAGGTTGGCGGAAATACATGGCTCAGATTGGGTTGGTATTGGTGAGGTGATGGGTAGAAGTTCCATGTCTTTGAACCGCAAGTATGCAAAACTAGTAAATGGTAGGTACATGTACAGGGGTGTATAAATGGGGGCAAGGGGGGAGGGGGGGGAGAAGGTCAGTAGAATAGGAAGGGGGAGGTTAGGGGAGGTGGGAGTGGAAAGGGAGCATTTTCACCTTCTTGTCCTCCTGTCTCTGACCAGTGCAGCTGTAAATGAACACTGTTCTACGACAAGATTATTTGGTTTTACCGACTGAGTTGATAATATTAAGTAACCACCGTAAAGGGTTTATAAAGCTGACGCTTCGGGCGTTAGCCCTTCGTCAGAGTTAGCCGAACATCAGGTTTAGAAACTCTTTATGGTGGCCCCTTTACATTATTAACTCATCTGATAAAACAAAATTATATTTTTACACCTCCTACTGACGCAGCACCATAGTTTCTCTAAAAGCTTTCCTCCTTTATCCATTTGAAGTTCTGCAACAGCCGAGTGAGCTTCATAAACGATGAATGAAAAAGTCCCAAACATACCTAATGATCTCATCTGAGCAGACATTTTCCCAACAGTAGAGTGAGGCGGTTTGACTTACTTTACATGTGCGTTACCCCAGTTTCTGTCGATTAAGTAGAAGTCGATGAAGATAAAAGATAAAACTGGGGCCTAAATCAGTCAAAATAGAGCGTCCAGGGTCCCGTTTCTCGAAAGTTCCGATAACTTAATAGGCCCGAAGCCACATTTTAGAATCAAAAGTTAAAGAATAGAGAGTAGGCTCTGGCGCCCTAACCAGTCCATTTTGTCTCTTATGCTGCTACTTTTACTGTATAATTCTCAATGCTTTTGAAACCTCCATTGTGAATAAAAACAGAACAGCTTTACGGGGCCATTAAGTTACCAGGACCTACAAGAAACGGGCCCTAGGAACGTGAGTGTTACAATGCTGTTTTAACGAGGCTAATCAACATAATTTAAATTTAGCTGAAAACTGCATGACCAGATGCCACGTAGCAGTCATACAATTGCTACTCGATGCTCTCTTCCTTACATAATTTGGTTTTATCAACTGAGTTAATCATGGAAATCGGCCACCCTGAAAAGTTTCTCGCCTTGGATGGTAACCGGTCAAGTCGCCCGAGAGTCATCTCGCCCGAAGTCATGTCGCCCGAAACCTGAGTCGTGTTCTTCTTCTTGTTCTTCTTCTTTACGGAGGCAAATTTACATCACGAACTCAGTTGATAAAACGAATTATCGTGTAACAACCCCACATTGACAAAGCACCGCAGTTTCTCAAGAAACTTAACCCCTAAAGGCTTTCTTAAGTCTTTCCTGTCGGGTAACTCTGCATACGGAGACGTATAATGAGAGTTTGTTTCTCGCGGCAGTGTGTTGTACATAGTTGATTTAGAGGGGATGATAACCGAACACGCTGCATGTGGAAATCAGTTTGTTTTCATTCCGGTAGTTAGTTGTATAGAATGTTTAATAGATGCCGGAAAGGAGAAAAATATGCCCTTGCTCCTGCACACAATCGAAGTTCAAATGTTACAGGATTGTTTCATACATAGGTGCGAGAGAATGTTTTTTATATATATATCAGCCACGTTCAAACCCTCCTTGAGTTTTGTGGAAAATACGTTTAGAGCATGTTGCCAATAAGGGAGGCTATGAGTAGACGCTTTGTTCTGTTTTCAACAGTTGTTTCAAACCGTTTTCTCAAGACTCCTAAAGCGTCTTGATTCGTGATTTTCGAAAATTGGTTCTCAACTCGAAACCCGATTCTTTATTGATTCTCGAAGCTTTCGAGAATGGAGTTTCGAGTCGAGACTGCTAACTCACATCATAGTAATAATCCAAGTGCTTTACCCCACAACATCAGCAATTTATTGTTCATGGCCAAGGTATTGAAAATTAAAGTTTGTTCATAATTCCTCCACAGATGAAGTTGAAGAAAAGAAAGGAAAATGGACAGAGGAGGAGATTCATCGTTTGAACGAAGCTGTCCATGTTGTTACAAATACTTCTGAGGAGGAGGCAGTTTATCATGACATTTACTGGCCGGCAGTCTCGCAGATGGTCAAATCGAGGGGCACTGAACAGTGTAGAAGAAAATGGTAAACATTCTCAACACTGGAAAAATTATTTCGAATCCCATTCCTACATCTCTTGCATTCATTTTTTTTATTTCCAAATTGTTTTTTCCACGGACCTGGGAAAGGGTGGGGTGGGTGGCTGCAACACAGCTGTGTACGTATCGCACGGAATGGACTCATAGTTTTGTGGTCTTGGGTTCAACATTTCCTCCCAGCTTTTGGCTGGATTTGTCCTCAGTTGCTGCAAATTCAACTCCTTGGCTGCGTTTTGTAAATAAGCAACTGGTTTGCTTCCAGGCAGCTGGTGTTTTTAACCACTCTACATGTATGGTTATTTAATATGTCTGTAAGCTTTGAGCGTTGAACTTCAAACTCCGTCATAGTTGGATGGTTAGTAATCATTGTTAGTATAATTACGCACGCTCTGATTGATCGAGGATTGCATTATCTCTCACAATAATTACCTCGTGCAAGGTGATTTCCGTGTGACACTTGATTTTAAAATGGCTACCGCGCGTTTTGTCGATGTTACGCAGGAAGTGATAAACGTAATAGAAGAAAATACAACTCTGAAGAGCACAAAAGATTATTCTAAGTTTGGCGTAACAATTACTTAAAGTTACCGTGGTAGGCATGCGTTTGTTACTTTGTGCATCGTGAACTACTTCTAAATTTACAGATTCCATGCCATGCAATCCTTGCTAATCCCTTCCATTCTTAAGCATTTTCTCCGTGAAGTGTTACCCATTTTAACGTTATAAAACTGCCAAGGAGCTTTCTTGCAGTAGTTGGGGACATTTTTCCATAAGATTCCAAAACCAAAGCCAAGCACCACTCGACTTGGTCACTCGTGTTTTCCCAAGTTTCATCCAGTGAGGTTCCCCACCCACCCCTCCCCTCTTCCACTCAAAGCTCTCCATGCTCCTCCTTGTAGAATTCACATTCGCTCTGTTGAACGTCGTTTCTTTATTCTTAGTTCCGGTTTTACGACTCTCAGTAGAAAAGCTTTGTATTTTAATAGAGTAATGTTTTTGATAAGAGATCCGATGTGAAAAATTTGCTTTCCCATTTTAGGTTGCACAAGCTGTGCTGGAGCATGAATGACAATGAGGTCCAGAGATGGACGAAAAGTGATGACATGACACTTGTGGAAAGGTTTGGTGAATGACTTTTAATCCATTCGAAAAAAAAAACGGATAGATTTTACATGATCTAAACTTGAAGAAGATGGATGATGAATTTTGAGCTTTGTCACAAAATGAAGAGGATAGAAGCTTCTTATTCTTGGTACTCATATGGCGCTCAGGCTTTCGTCATTGATTATACCATTGTTATGCAGAACCCGTATATTTCTTAGTTTGTATGACTCTGAAGTCGAGGAAGAATGTGATGTGGGGTTGAATAGACATTTAGTCTGCCTTCGAAACATAGACTCGATCGAGAACCTTGCACACCAGTACTTTGCAAAGATCATGTTTTCGCGCAAAAGCTTACTTGGTATTTCATTGGTGTTTATGTAATAAATTCTTTTTCTTAGCCTGTATGAGTCTGAATACATGGAGGAGTTTGATGTGGATTGGATGGACATTCAGTCCGCGTTTGAAACGTAAGTTCAACAGTATTAAATACATGTACCGAGTCGCTGATATATCTTGGCTCGTTTTCCGCCGCTCTCTTGTGTCCGGTCCTCTCTCCTCCTGGATTCGGGGGGAAGAGCGCGGGCTCATATTCCCGAACAGCGGCTCGTAATCTTGTCTATGATATATTGTGGTCGCTGGAAGCAAACATATGTGGGAAAACGCTGAGATTTGCTCATCGGGCAGGGTTCAAATTTAATCATTCACTGGTCTCCTCATCGCGTTGAAAACCAACTCGAAACTAATTTCGGAATCGGTTCTCTTATTTCTATAGTCTTGAATCAAAAATGAGATTTTCTATACAACAATAATCGTAGATCTGTTTTAAGTTTAACCGTCTTTCTTTTGGTACCCTCTCTTCTTCTAAATACACCAAATTAGTATGTCTTTTTGTCTAGGAAGGGTATTCGTGTATATAGGGTTTCTTAAAATCGCTCGTTTATTTGTTTGTTTTTTTACAATTGCAGTAAATACTCGCCACATTTTCTTTGCCATAAATATTTAAATCTCAAGAAGAGCGTACCCAACTACCAACTGTTAAACTTTGAAGGTTAGTGAAATGTTTTACAGTGTCATACAATGCTCGTTTGATTTTAATCAAATTTTTTTTTATGCTCTAGTCTTGCTAGCTGTAATTGCAAAAGTGGCTATCACTTTGTAGTTATGAGTTCTCTCCTCTTCTCCTCAACATTTTCGTTGTAGCAACTTACATTTGGGAAACAATGGCTTGAAGAGAACTTAAAATCTCATGCGTTCTTCCATTCAGTACATTTCTTCGTTCACAGATTTTTTCTGATTCTTCCTTGCTGTATACAAGCTCCCCTCGTGCTTGCTTTCGGCAATCTTTTCCTTCTTCAATGTTGTTTACTGTTGGCTTGGCCTTGTTTGATTACCTGGTTTTCCCCCTAGAAATTGTGGATTATCTGTACCAGCTCTTTGTAAGAGCTATATTGGAAGCCGAGGCACAACTGGACAGCGGATTGCTCAGCGACCAGACAGAGTAGTTACAACCTGTGTTTGCCGTTGTGGCTACATGACCCAGAGAAGACAAATTTCAGAGAGGAGATATTTTTTTATTTCTAGGGGAAAAAATGGAATTTTCGAGTGGATTATAGTAGCATTTCCGGGATTTGCTATATAGGCACACTATGTGCTGCGCGTTATTTCCATGACATTTTTTTAGTGACTGCAATCCCATAGTCGGCAGACGTATATTCTGCAAGAAGTTTTGTCCTTCGAGAAAAGCGTAGCAATTAATTTGATCCTTCTCATCCCGTTTTGTTTCTTCAATTTCCTTTAATTGCTGGCTGTGATTTTACAAGAGCTTAAAAATTCACGCAGACTGCTTCGAATCCCCTTATTTCTCCAAACGTAAATTCAATAGGATAAATCACGTGATATAAAAGGTTTCTTGGTGCCAAGCCAGCCTGGTCGACAATGGTGGCACAGAGGGTCGGTGTGAAGCACAGGAACAAAGTTCCAGCCACAAACGCCACTGTCTTGGATGCTTTGGCTTCTCGAGGACTTGAGTTCCCTGGTGAAGAAGGCTCTTGGGAAGAGGATGCGGAAGTGTTGTGCGACAACTCTACGTTAACCTGGGCGTTACAGCGCTTGACCAGCCTAAATATCCTAAAGTACACAAACGACGTGATGATGAAATTTGCGATTATTACGAGAGATATCACTCCTATTTCCTCATTGCTGTTTATCCCGAACAAGAATCTCACAGTTAGCAGTGTTCCAATCGAGATCACCCAGACTGTGACAGTGACTGTAATCAGACATTTGGAGTTGACCTTCTCAACATAACGATACGGATAAAATACTGCCATGTATCTCTCAAGCGAGATCAAAATCAATGTCAGAAATGACATGCAGATACATATCACTCCAGAGAACGAGTAAATAAGTAGCTTGTCGCACGGAAAGTCAGCGAAAGCAGTGGTCAGTTTGCTTGTTTGATAAATAATATATGAAGGTTGAACAAACGCGCCAACCGTCAAATCTGTCAACGCAAGGCACAAAATGGAGGTATTTGCTACATTTCGAAGCTGAGGCTTTCTGAGCACAGCCATAAAGACTAAGACGTTGCCAACGATTGTTAACGGACATGTAACACCGTTTAGAACACACAGCACTAGAGTCACGGAGCGGAACAAATCAGTTTGAGGAAAGGGAACCATTTTAAGACCTGAGAATCCGATGTCTCCGCATACAAACCTCTCGGTTGGGTTACTAACATTCAGTGCTTTGATATATCCTTTTTCCATTGTGACCTGAATCTTTTCTGGGCTGTTGTTGAATGAAGTCGTTCAATCTGAGGCAAAATATTTTAAAATTGAATTTACGAAGAATTGAAACACGTACGAAACAAGACAACTGTGAGCCTGATATGTCTTGTAACGATGCGCGTGTTTAGTCTGTCAATAATTTCCGCAGATACGTAGACATTTGCCGCATGTTAAAATTTACACTAGGTTTAGGTGTTAAAATCTTTTCATCTCCTCTGTTTACACAGGAATATAAAAACCCGGCCGGCTGTCTATCTGTGCAAACCTTCGTTTGACGCGCTCTCTGTCATTTCAGTAAGTTACAGAGAGATAAGATTAAGTGTCAAAAAGGTTACTCGTCCATCACATCAGCAAACTCCCCCAAAAGTTTGTTGTAATTTGAAACTGAATTGACAGGCTCCTTTGTCCAATCATCGTTGTTAATAAAACTTATCCGGTTTGCGCTAATGTATGCAAATATTCTAGTCTAATTACAGACTGCTGGGTTTTGCAGACGTATTATTCCTACAGAAAAGGATTTAAATGCATCAAGGACTATTTCTTAGACGCACTTTGCTTAGCTTTGATACTTACAAAGGAAATGAAATTAGAAAAATTGTGCAATCATTTGCCCCCATTTTTTGTACTTTAAACAGATACTGCTCATGTTATGACGAGATGAAACATAAGTACTTCCTATAGTTCGTAATGTAAAAGAAAAATTAATTCAAAATACAGTATGGGCCAAACATATTAAAGGTAAGATACTCTGTCGATACAAACCCTTTTTTTTTTTTATCTTATTCTCAAGGAACACTCGTCATCTTAGAACATATCTTAACTGCGCATGTTCGTGAGCAACACTTCTTGGACATGGAATTTTTATTTTTTAGACTTAAATTATTTCGCAACACGTTGCAAGCTTTCCTAATTACTCTCGTCTTCGTAAATAATTTTTTTAAGGTAAATGCGTGGAAACTGTACTCGTTATCGACGGCAAAGTGGTTAGGACGCTACAACGACAGTACATTGGGGCTGCTTGGAAACACCTAAAAATCGGAGTGTACGAGCCCATCCTCCTGCAAAATTATACAAATATAAGGATATTTTTAAATTTGAAAAAATTAGGAAATTCTTTTTTTTTTTTTTTTTTAATTTTAATTTCTTCAGCACATTTTTTTATATCTTGTGTTAAATTTTTGAGCGACATGCGATAAAACATTAACTCCAACTCAGCGGTCAAACTTTTAGCATGCGCAGGGGGATCGATTTTGGCCGCCTGCGTGTCAATTTCCCGCGCAAAATTTCAAAGAAAACATAGGAGAATATAGCTGTGGCACAAGATGAGCGAAAGATAATTTAAACGCTCCTAGCCAGAAATCTGTAAAATCAGCTAAAGTAGGGAGAGATTAATAGATAAGATAAATGGTTTATCACCGTTTGCAACTAAAACATTGAATTGTGAGATTATTAAAAAAAATTATATCAATAGTTACATTAAAAGGACTACCAGTAGTTTATAATAAGTTTGCAAAAAAATTTGTTTTTTTATGTCTGTTACGTTTGTAAATAAAATATGTCGAATAAGTATAAAAGTCTAGTAGAAAAAGTTTAGGTTAAAAGGGCATTTAAAATGGTAAAACTGTTGCGAAATCTGTTCGTCTTGAACACGGGCCTAAACTTCCGTTTGTTTCTCATGTTCAAAGTATTTGTGTTAAAGGTAGAGTAAAGCCGGTCATGAAGCTTGTTCTGTTCGCTCTGAATAGTTTTCTTGAATAGTTTATCAACTAGTTCCTGGCGGCGGTCTGAAAGTTTCATTAGGCCTGATTTAGCCGATGCCTCTTTATATGAGCAAAAGGGAAAGATGATTCGCATAGCCCGCTTTTGTACTCTTCAAGTTCGTTGGAGAGGCATATGGGGAGACTGTTATGAAAGACGTACGTGACATGCATACTCCGTGATCGGACGAGTGCAAGTGCAGGCCTGAAACCGAACTAACTCACGGATACCAAGACCGAGAGCGTTTAAGCTGAGATAAGCTATACAAGCGCCTCTTGGCTTTCTTGATGATGTTGTCAATGTGGCAGTTCCATCTCAAATCCTTGGATATGTTGAGGCGTAGTATTTTGGCACTGGCAGCTAGATCAATAGGCATACCATCAACAACAACTGGATCGAATAAAGTGGTGTTGTTAGTGTTGAAGTTTATACGCAGTTCCTTGCATCTCGTCTCGTTAAGTTGAAAAAGTTATCTACGGACGCACGGTTTGCCAGGATGTCAACAGCGGCTTGGATATAACTCTCTTTTTTTCTTTCTTATCGTCTGCGAAATTGTGGTATCGTCAACATATTTCCAGAGATCGGTGCTAGAAACATTTAGCTCGTTGATCATAATGATAAACAGCCACTGCCCCAGTTTTGTACCTTGAGGAACTACCGCCGGACTGCACCCCATTCCGAAAAGCAGTTGGGGCCGAGCTTAACTCGTTGTTTGTGCGAAGTGAGGAATTCAGGGATCCAGGGGATGACAGCCTCAGGGATTATAGTCTCAAGCGTGCGTGTTTTCTTTTCACATGACTATTTGCATCTTGCGTGGCAACCAAGGTCGACTTCGTGGAGATAAGTCCGCAAAGCCAGATGATGTGGTGGCTGCAGGTCACTTGATTTCAACAGAATTTTAATTCTTCTTAGGGGAATAGAAAACTCTAGACTTTTCGAACACGACGCTTCTTCAAGTTAGGGTATCCTGTGATTTACCATTCAGTGTTTTGAGCTTTATCAAAAAAAGTTACGCTTCTAAAACTGGCTCCTTTGGTTGTTTGTACCTCGTCGTGGACAACACAGTTCGGACAGCGTGAAAGCGTTACAGCGTTAAAACGTTTGCAAAAGCAGAGAAGTTTGACCGCTGTATTCGTAAACTATAACGTGCCAAGTTCTTCGTCGTCGTAGGGAACTCGTAAATCTGGTGAATCAAGGCAAGTCCAAAGCCAGAGGTAAAATTTGTATAAATTATGATGTGCTTTCGGAACACTGACAAGGTTTTAACATTATTATTGATGATTAGAGTGGTTTAGCTGTAAATGACGATGAAGCCATGTTGCGCTATTTTCAGCAATCTCTACCAGGCTGTTTTTTACGTCTAAATTCTCCCACAATCTGACAGAGTTATCAATAGCCGCTAATCTAAAACCAAACAGTGAAAGATGAACCCGTGGGAGCCACCCTTTTAGAGTTTGTACCCTCAGGGCAAAGAAAGAAGATTTGTAAGTTTTCTTTCTTCCAACGAACAATCAATGAATGAATGAAACTCCCTTCCCGAAGATGTTGTAAATACAACGTCCGTATACAGTTTGAGATCGAAGTTAGTCAATAGCTTTTAATATTTTACTGTAGTTTTTATTCAGATTTTATCTTATTGCATGATTTTAAGCTTTAAGACCTCTAACATTATTATTTATTTTTATCTATTTATTTATTTATTTATTTGTTTTACATTGTTGGTGTGATATCTTACGATTTAACAGACTCAATAACGTATCATCATTTTTATGTTTTCTGTTTGTTTTTCTGTTTCGCTGAGATAATATATTTGTAATTTCCGTCACACTGATTCACACGATAATCATGCAAATAGCAGGAAATAAAACGGCAAAGAAAATATCGTGAACCGCGTCAATAGGACCTCGTAGCTTATTTGTTAAGATGTTTTTTTTAACGATGGAAAAAGGTGAAAAGTACTTCCCTTAAAAGGGGGAACATTAAGTCCAATGGTAATTTGAGGGAAATTTGCGTGACTTAACGGACAGCGAACTATTTATCAGCAGGCTGATGACGCAAATGTTTGAACAATTTTTCTATTTTCATTTCCTGTGTAAGTATCAGAGCTTTTGCCACCGATAGTTTCAATATTTGAGTAAAGAAATGGTCGAAGTGATTTTGCTGGAAGCCATGCGAGTCGTCCTCTTCAAGAAATGAGCTTAGCCTTTTCATGCTCAGGAGTGCGTGACGAATGGGTTCTTTGTAGATTTTCAATCGCGTGACACTCCAGTGGACATTGTTTAATTTTGTTTTAAACTTAAAATGGCGAACGCACGGAAGCTGTTATTTACGGAAGGGTCTGCGCGGAGGCTAAGAGGTAGGGCGAAGTACCTCAAATTTCAGACACTGTGATCGTTTACAGCAATGGAAACACAAAAAAACCTTTGTTTTCTCAGGATCTTAACATCGCATGATTTTATGATTTACTGCTGAAATACAGCAAATGTAATATTGGAATCGGTGCTCAAAAACTTCGTCAGTTTCCTTCCTGGTGGCCCTCCACTTGTTTTGATTTACGTAACCATCATTGCTGCAAACTAAAAATTCTGACAAAGACTCATACCGCGATTCCTTCTGGAAGCCATCACGTCCTTCAACTTTGGAAACGCACCAAAACAAAACACTTGAACTTCTAAGGATCTGTGACCCCATAACTTTATACTTGTTAGTGAATGGAGAGTGAAGCTTTCAAAGCACAAGACTCCATCATTAACATCATATCAAGAAATCACTTCTCTAAAGAGGAAACTGAACTTTATCTCAGAATCAGTGAGGCTCTTGATTGTTACGACCTCTAAGAAGTGTTGATAGCCATTCTTGGCTATCAACATTGCTGATCCTAGACAAGCGTACGACGTTTGTCACCTATGTGAACCTTATAATGCACTTAAAACTCATTACTGAGCTCTTTGAAGCTCAGCGGTAGAGCATCGGAACACGAAATCCGACGATGTAGGGTTTGATTCCTCCCGGAGGACTCAGGTCTTATTCCTTTGTTGTTTGCTTGTGACAAATGATTTTCATTCGACGAACGAGCACAAAACTTGCCATTGTTCTTATTTAACCAGCTAACTTTTTACGTGATCTTGTTGATCACATACAAATAACGCCTTGGTCTGACACGTGTCACAAAATGTCAAAAACGTTTTACTATGACGGAAAATAATGGCGAAAGAAAAGCA